GGCCTGTTGACCAATGTTGGCTGCAGGCAATTGCAGTTTTCAGTGCCTCATTGATTTGCTGAGCATCCTTCTTAGATGTAATGGTTTCACCAGGATTTAGAAAGCCATAGTGGATCAGACTAGCAGCATACCACCAGTGACCAATCACCTGTTTCTGGTGCTTTGGGATGTGCTGCGGAGCTTCTTCTGGGTCCAACCACTGACCTGGTCATTGCCAGTTGTTGTATAAAATCTACTTTTCGTAGCATGTCTCAATCCAATTGAGGAATGTTTCATTGCTGTATAGAATAAGAGAGGACAACACTTCAAAATGATGATTCTTTCAATTTTTCAGTTGGCTCACAAAGGCATCCACTTATAGAGCTTTTCACCTTTCCAATTTGCTTCAAATGCTGAGTGACAGGATGATCAACATTGAGTTCTTAGGCAACTTCTTGTATATTTATAAGAGGATCAGCTTCAATGACTGCTCTCAATTTATTGTTGTCAACTTTCTCTGGTTGCCCACTACGCTCCTCATCTTCAAGGCTCCCGTTTCCTTTGCAAATCTTTCTTTCTTTTTTTTAATTTAATTGCGACAGAGTCTCGCTCTGTTGCTAGAGTGCAGTGGTGTGACCTTGGATCATTACAACCTCTGCCTCCCAGGTTCAAGTGATTCTCCCACCTAAGCCTCCTGAGTAGCTGGGATTACAGGTGCGTGCCACTACACCCAGCTAATTTTTGCATTTTTAGTAGAGACAGGATTTCACCATGTTGCCTTGGCTGGTCACGAATTCTTAATCTCAAGTGATCCACTGGCCTTGGTCTCCCAAAGTGCTGGGATTACAGGCATGAGCCACTGTGCCTGGCCATCCTTTGCAAAACTGCTTGAACCACTACTGCACTGTATGTTCATTAGCAGTTCCTGGGCGAAATGCGTTCTTAAAGTTGCTGGTTGTCTCTGCTGCTTTACGGCCCATTTTGAACTTGAATAAGAAAACTGCTCACATTTGGTTTTTGTCTAACATCATTTCCATAGCCTAAAATAAACGAACAGTCACTAGCCAAAAAAAACTGCAAGGTGAGAAAAGCCCATTTAACTGATGTATAACATACATTTATTAAAGCACGTATTCCAATATCAAACGGCAAATTCCAACAACGTGAAAACCAGAATTACTTTTGCAGTCACCTAATAGTAGCTGTTTTTTGTTCCTTGCCCCGCTGGGTGAAGGTAGGATGGGTTTCCTTCTTGCTATTCAGTTACTCAGTGCTATTGCTACACTAACTTCTCCCTTTTTCTTAACCTCATCTTTAACTTTGAACCTCATGTCACCAGACTATACCATGCTTGGCTTTCCAAGCTATGCTTACGCACCAACCTCCAAGCCTTTTCCTGAAATTCCTTGAAAATTGTTGCTCCTGGCTCTCTCCAACATCATTCTTATTATATTTTTTGGTGATTTCAGTATCCTCAAGGATCATCCATTCAATGCTCTGGTGCTTGGTTTCTATGACCTCTTCTTCTCCAGTGATCTTTTTCTTTAACTTACCTTAGCTTTCCCTTCTTGGGTCATACCATAAGCTTTGACAGCACCAATAACCACAGCCTCTCCATACACTCAGCTTCAAGCATCCTACTGTCAGATCACCACCTCTTATTTCAGCACATTCTTTTGATGAGCTCTAACAAATCTTAGCCCCCATAGGGACATACAACTTACTGACTCTACTGATTTTTCATTGTCTCTTACCTTCTACTTGTCTCATATAACAAATGACCCTCAAATTTAGCATCTTAATACAACAAACATTATCTCACACAGTTTCTGGTTGGGTGGTCAGGCTCAGAGTCTCTTATGAGGCTGCAGTCAAGTCGCTAGTTGACAGTAGTCTCTGAAGACTTGATTAGGGCTGGAGGGTCTACTTCCACGTTCATTCACAGGGATGCTGGCAGAACGTTTCAGTTTCTTGCCACGTGTACTTCTTTATAGAACTGCTAATGATGTACATGGCTTCCTTCAGAGCAGATCTGAGATGGAGGGAGGGAGGGAGAGAGAGTGAGCAAGCAAGAGCACGTGAGCATGTCTATTATAACCTAACTCTGTAGTAATATACCATCCCTTCTGCCATATTCTGCTGGTCATACAGACCAACCTAGGTACAATGTGGGAGGGGACTATACAAAGGTGTGAACACCAAAAGGTGGGGATCATTAGGGGCCATCTTGGAGGATGGCTAGAATACTATTTTACAGAGAAAACAGAATAATCAGAAGAAAATTTCCATAAGCTCCTACCACCATATTACCTAATTATCACTATACTGTATAATCTAACTTTACTGCTATTATTATAATTAACTATACCTCCTGGTATCTAAAGCCAGTCCCTCCACTTGTTTACTAGGTTCCATTTCCTCTGCCCTCTTGAGGATATACAGTCATGTGACACATAACAACATTTTGGTCAATGAAGGACCACATATATGATGGTGGTCCCATAAAATTGTAATACTGTATTTTTGCTGTATCTTTTCTATGTTTAGATATAGAAATATTTACCACTGTGTTACAAATGCCTATAGTATTCAATACAGTAACATGCTTGATGTAGCCTAGGGACAATATGCTATACCATATAGCCTCGATGTGTAGTAGACTATAGCATTTAGGTTTGGGTAAGTACACTCTATGAGGTTGGCACAAAGTCAAATTTACCTAACAATGCATTTCTCAAAATGTATCCCCATCTTTAAGTGACATGTGACTGTAGATCCCCAAATTCTCTCAGATCTCTCCTGCATCATGTGTTTTCTCCTGTCTACTGGATAATTTCCACCAATGAAGAATATATACTATGATCTTAAAGAACTCTCTTATGATCCTACCTCTACATTCAGCCACCTGTTTCACTGTGTCCCTTCACAACAAAATTCATGGAAAGAATTGTCTAAAATTGCTGTCTCCAATTTCTTCTCCTACTCTTTCTTGCCTAACAGGCTTTTGCTCTCCAACTGCTCTAAAAGACACTGCTCTTTTTAAAGTTATCAATGACTTCCACGTGGTCAAATCCAAAAGTCAATTTTCAGTCCTCATCTTATTTGATTTATCAGCAGGATTTAACACAGATGGTCTGCCCTCAGTGGACCATTTCTTTTTCACCTGGCTTTCAAGGTATGACACCCCCATGGTTTTCTTCCTTAGTTTATGGACAAATCCTTCTCAGTCTCTTAGCATTCTCCTCCTCCTCTTCTGCTCAGTCTCTGTAATAGTGAAATACCCTAGGGCTGTTTTAGGATCTATTATTTTATTTGTCTATATTCAACCCCTTGCTGATTCCATCCAGTTTAATGGCTTTAAATCTACAGGCTAACAACTCTTAGATTTACATTTTCAGCCCAGAACTCTTCTCTGAGCTCCAGACGCTTTTCCTTATACTATCTTCTTGGATGTTGATTAGGTAAGTAAAACTTAATCTGCCCTAAACTGAACTCCTGATCTTCCCCTTTCCAAATCTACTCCTTCCACTGTTTTCACGGTGTCAGTAAATAGTAATTTCATCCTGACAGTTGCTCAGAATGAAGCCCCTAGTTTTCCTTGACATCTCTCTTAGACAATCCATATCCAAACCTTTAACAGATCCTGAAAGTTTTGCCTCCCAAATACATACAGAATGCAATCACTTAACATGATCTCAACCACCACTTCCTTGATCCGACATCACAATCCCTTATCCTAATTATTGCAATAGCCACCTAATTGGTCTTCTTTACCGTCTATTTTCAATAGAGCACTCAGAATTATTTTTTTAAATTTAAATCACATTATGGTGTTCCTTTGCTTCAAACCTTGCTCCAGTGGCTCCCCATCTCAACATCTATGGTGGCTTACATGTTCGATTCGATCGCCTGCCCTTCCATTTTTGACCTCCTGTCTCAACATTCTTCCACCCTCCCTCTGCTCCAGTCACACTGTCCCCACCTCGGGGCGTTTGTACTTGCTGTTTTATCTGGCACACGTTTAGAAAGCCTCCGTTGAAAAGCAGTGGCTTCTTCTATTATCTCGTTTAAGTCTTTGCTCAAAAGTACCTCAGTGCAGCTTCTCTGGACATTCTAGTATTTTATCCCTCCCATCCCCACCCTGCCCACTACACTCCCTATCCTCTTAGCTTTTACTACACATCACACACGTTTACTTACTCATTGTTTATTCGCTTATTTCCCCCTCACTCTACTGTGAATTCACTGAGCAGGGATATTTGTTTCGTTTATACCTGTGTATCTCCGGTGCTTAGAACAGTACGGGTGTATAAAAAGCTCGCAGTATTGCGGTGAGCCGAGATTGCGCCATTGCACTCCAGCCTGGGTAACAAGAGCGAAACTCCGTCTCAAAAAAAAAAAAAAAAAAAAAAAAAAAAAAAAAAAAAAAAGCTCGCAGTAATGTATGTTAACCTAATGAATAAATTATCCCACAGAGATAATCGAGTGTCTCCGGATTACAGCAGAGCTTGCAGCAGAGAGGGAGACCACTCAGGACGCCGTGATGTCCAAATATAGCATGCATGAAACAGCGTGGTAAAATGAGCTGCACAAAGAATCCGAAAAATTTGTTAGCTTAGTTTGTTTCTCCAGGAAGCCGTGCTTCCCTCTACTGGGAACCCTGGCCCGCACAGTCGGCCAGATCACAAGCCCAACGCATCCCTTTCGGAGAGATTTAGGAGGACTCGGGGCTGGAACTTCAGTTCCACCAAGCCTCAGACAGCGCATTACCCAGCAACCGCGTTCACCCACACATTCCCGCCCCTTCAGCCGGACAGGAAAAGGAAATGACCGAACCACGGAAGCCCGAAACCCCGCCTCTCACCTCTTCCCACCTGCAGGAGGGGACGCGGGGTCCGGAAGGGGCGGACACAAGGCTACGGAAGGGCGGGACGGAGCGGCCCACCCAAAAGTGGCGGTTTACTTGAGGCAGTTCCCTTAGTACCCGGAGTAGACTGAGTCTGCGGTTAGCGGTGGGCGGACTCCTGGCTAGTGCTGTCTCAGCAGGAGTGGGCCTCGGGGCCTCAGAAGCAGGCTTTTATCTGGTCCGAGGCACCTAGCCGTTCAGCGCGTCTTCCCATAACCGGATACCGATAATTGGAACTCTCGGCTGCAGACCCAGGTTTCCGCCCCTCCCTTTGCCTCCGGGCTGCGGCTGTCATTCCGCCCTTCCCGCCTCGATGCGTCCACAGCTGGGCACAGTCTTCGTTCTTTCATTCCCATCCTTTCTCTTCCCTCTCATCGCCATTTCTTCTAGAAGGCAACTTAAAAACCTTTCTTGCCTTTTTATCTCTTCCCTTTTCTTCCTTTTTCTCTAGAATACTTTTTTTCAAATCTGTGCCAGTCTTCTGCCTCCAGGGCTTCTCTCCTTTTCACGGGCCTATGGCTCATGTGTTAGGAGGTTGAACTTTTAATGCAGTGGTTTGAAGATTTTAAGCTTTTTCTTTCTCCTAACCAGGAGTCACAGATGCTGGGAAGTATGGCCCGAAAGAAACCTCGAAATAACACACGGTTGCCCCTGGCTTTAAACCCCTTGAAGAGCAAGGACGTGTTGGCAGTGCTGGCTGAGAGGAACCAGGCTATAGTACCCGTTGGGGCATGGGTGGAACCTGCCTCACCAGATAGTTCGGAAATCCCAGCATATGTGAGTGTCAGTTTGATCCAAATATGGTGGGGTTTCCCACCACCCTTTTTATTGGTCTTCTCTAATCTGGGTGCTTAAAGATGAAGAGTCCGAGACTGCTGTTTCTATTCTGCCATAAATAGATTATGTCCTTACATTAGAATTATAGAACAAACAAGTGTTTGCTAAAACTTGACTGCAACTTCAGTTGGCATAATCAAATACTACTCACCTACTATAATATATAGACCATAATCTACATGCAACAGGTTATATAGATACATATCTGTGTATCAGTTTACTTCAGACTCTTGATTGCTTGCTGTGCCCAAGACATAAGCACTGTCTACATCTTCCAGACACTGCAACTTAGTATGGATGATAGTTGACATACTTTAAGTAATATTAATTGGTTGCTTAAGGTTTATGATAAATTTTGTAATGAGGATTCAGGCAAAATCGGGGTAATAGAATAAAGGAGAAGGGGATGAACTCTGGTAATCTGAGAAAGTCTAACTAGAAATTCTGAAATTTCTGATAGTCTTTCACTAAACTTTGCCCCTTAGCTATTTGTTCAAATTTAAATTGGCACCTACCACATTGTGTTATAAGAGATTGTTTATATATCTTTTCCTGATGCAGTGTGAGCTCCTTGAGCTTTGAGGACAAATCTCATTTATCATCACATTCCCACTTTTATCTTAAAGGCTGCCTAATAAATATAGACACTCATGAAATATTTATGAAAGGCACAAAATGTCTTCTGTATATATAGACAAGGTGCTGAACATGGATGAAAAAAGTATGAGGTATGTTCCCTCAGTATACTTGATCTCAGAGGAGAAATGAGATATATTTAAAGTAAATGTTAAAAGTAATGGAATATACTATATTCATTTTACTTTTGTTTGCACATATGTATGTATATCATTGATTTATTCCTACTTTGCCTATTTCCAAAACGGATTTTAAGAGTCTAGGTGGTATATCTAAGTTCTAAGAATATAATGCTTAATCAAAGAAGAAGCTCTGACGTTGGGTTAATGTGACCCAGGAAAGCGTAATGAAGAATTTGAATAATCGGAGAAGGGAAGGGAATGATTCTCCTATTAAGGAAAATGGGGAGAGTAAGAAGTAAGAAAAGTTTGGGATTCTAAGGGTAGATTAGATCGGTTGGAGTGGAAAATTTAGTAGGAGAATGGTTGTTGACAGGATTATGGAAAATAGGGATGGTAGAGAACCATAGGAAATTTTGGAGAAGGGATTGACTTTAATTGTTTAATATTTACAGATGAATTTTATGATCAACCAGTGTTTTGAGTAGATAATTTGCTTCAAAGATTTTGAAGGATACAGAGTGATTGGATCCTGGGGATAAATTGTCATTATAGCAATTTAAGCATGAAGTATAGCATACAAACTTGGTTAGTGGTAAGGAATAGAGAAGAAAAGCCTTGAAAAAGGATGGTTGAAGTACTTGAGCCCACGAGTTTGAGGCTATAGTAAGCTGTGATCATGCTACTGCACTTTAGCCGAGGCAACAGAATGAGACCCCATCTCTGCGAATAAAAAAAAAAGAGAGAAAAGGAATGGAATGAGAAGGGATAAATGCAAGAAACACCCCACAAAACTCAGTAAGATTTGTTATAAAGGTATTTCGGTATTTAAGTTGTTGACACCTCTTTTTGATTGCTCAAATTATATCTGTATAATATCAGTAGTATCAACATGCCTAAAATTTGACACCATCAAGCTTTTTCTATGTTAAGAAGTATAGAATATGGTATTCACAGACATTAACTTAAAATAGGCTTGGAACATGGATAAACATGTCTCATTTTCCTGATTTAAAAATTTCTGATCAATTCCAGCCAAAGGGAGTTTGATCAAACATCTAATAGAACTCCTTATAGCTTTAGCATGTCTAGTCTGGGTATCCATCCTTATTAACAGATATAGCTCTGTCAGCTCAAAATAAATGCTGAATAGTTTACTTCTAAAGCTTGGCCCTTAGATCATGTTTGTTCTAAAGAGAAACTTCTAATCATTTTTCTCCCCAAAATTTCAGGGGACCATCAGGATTCCTAAAAATATCATAGCTTTAGACTACCTCCCCCCAATAATTATTAATAAATTAGCATCAAAAGACACTGCTGTTTTATCATCATATGTAGGTATTGCATTATTTTATAATTTGTTTGGGTTATCTTTTGCTATGTAACTAACCACCCCAGAACTTAGTGGTATAAAGCAGGTAATACTCTGTATCAGGAATTTGAGTAGGGTACTATGGTAATGGCTTGTTTCTGCTCCACAGTGTCTGGGGCCTCAGCTGGGGCTCAAGTAACTGGACATGTCTGGGACATATTGACTATTTTCTGGCTGTTGGTTGGAGCTAGAAAATAGTCAGGCTATCCCAGTCATGTGGCACCTGCTAGACTGTAATGTTCAAGATGGCTTTCTTATTCACATATCTGACACTTGGGCTAGGATAACTAGAATGTCTGGATGCTGGCTAGATATGTTTCTCTTTTCATATGGCTTCTCTGTTTGACTAACTTGGGCTTCCTCACAGCATGGTAATCTCAGGGTAGCCAGAATTTTTTACAGTGCTGACTTTCTTCAGAATGAGCACTCTTAAGAACCCAGGTGGAAGTTGCTTTATGACCTGGCTTGGGAAATCACAGAGCCCATTTGCCTCATTTTGTTAGATATTTAGAATCAGATTAAATTCACTTTGGGAGAGGACTGCCCAAGAGCATGAGGGCTAGGAGACTTGATTCATTGAGGAGAGATCTAACTGCTATGTCATTAAGCACCAACTCCATCATATGTGAATGTGTTCTTTGGATGTTGTGAGAAACTCTTCATTCCATATGGCCCTCTTGGATAGTCCATAAGGTGCATAAAGGCTATGAGAAGTTAGCTGTATAGTCAAAACAACATTTCACTGTGCTTAACCCTTTATTTCCAAAATTTATTTCATTCTGGGAACCTCTGAACATCCCACAGAACAAGTGTTCTTGGGTTTTGGTGGCCTTGCGCTATGGTACTTGCTAAGAAAAGAAGGTTTCTAAAATTTTGTATACTCTTATATTTGGTTTACAATTGAGATCCACAATCTGTAATCAGTCATACACTTCTGTAAGATGTTTGATAATCTTATGGAGCAAAAGAGGAGCAGAGAAAATGGAAGTAAAACAAAGAGGCTGAATGGCTTAAACTTGTCTGGGGCTTGAGTTAATCTGGGGCAGTTGTTCAGGCTTTATTATATATATGTTTCTCCTTTGGAATTATTTTAACTAATTGTTCTTTGACACTTTATACTCCACTAGAATAGTTTATGCAATAGACTTCTTGGAAATTTTAACTTAAATTGAAATTTGAATGCATTTGATTTTGAGAATTTAATGACAGCCTGTAAAATGATCTGAGGTACCCTTCAGAACTGGAAGTCGGAATCACTGAGTTAGAAGAAAGAATAGGTAGGAGATATGATGATGATTTTATTTAATTAGAAAATTCCTATTGAAAGAGAGATGTAGTCAAGAGAAAAGTAGTGTAGAGAGAAACATAATTGTTGGAGTCAGAAACTTCTAGTTCTGTTACTAGTCAGCTATATTAAAATTAATCTTTCTGAATCCCAGTTTCCTCATCTGTAACATAAGGGATAAGAATACATATTACCAAACGTGGTTTTGAGGATAGAAAATGGAGTTAAAATATTTGTCATGTAATAGATCCATAATAATGATAAATGATGTTATGATGATGACTGTGATTGTTATTCAGAGCACTTAGAGGAGATAAATACAGATCAAGCACTCAAATGGGACAAAGTGTGCCAGATTGTTTAGAACAAGCTTGTCCAACATGTGGCCATGGGCCTAGGATGTGGCATGCTGCATGTGGCCCAGGATGGCTTTGAATGTGGCCCAACATAAATTAATAAATTTTTATTTTTTTTTTTATGGAGTCTTGCTCTGTTGCCCAGGCTGGAGTGCAATGGCACAATCTCAGCTTACTGCAACCTTCACCTCCCCGGTTCAAGTGAGTCTCCTGCCTCAGCTTCCCAAGTAGTTGGGATTACAGGTGCCCACCACCATGCCTGGCCAATTTTTGTATTTTTGGTAGAAACAGGGTTTCGCCATGTTGGTCAGACTGGTCTTGAACTCCTGATCTCAGGTAATCCACCCGCCTTGGCCTCCCAAAGTGCTGGGGTTACAGGCATGTGCCACTGTGCCTTGCCTAAATTAATACATTTTCTTAAAACGCTATGAGTTTTTTTGTGATTTTTTTTTTTTTTTAAGCTCATCAGCTGTCCTTAGTGTATTTTATGTAACCGTTCTTCCAGTGTGGCCTGCGGAAGCCAAAAAATTGGGCACGCCTGGTTTAGAATATGTTTTGGAATTGAACAATTATATAAATATATATTGACTATCCTTATAGTCAAGGCTCTGTACTTCATGCTGTAGGGGAAACAAGGGAGAATTGAATACATATCCTGACCTCGAAGAGTTTATAATCTAATAGGGGAGTCAAGAAGTATGATACTCAGTTAACATTGGTGAAATGAGAAGTGTTATTAGAGGGCTTAGAGAAAGAAAGTGTTGTGGGAAGTGCTGAGGAGTGGATATTAAATGGTTGTGAAAACTGAGTAGGCCTTTACTAGGTGGAGATGAGAGGAAAGGCATGCCAAATTAAAAATGGAGCATAATGCCGAGTATGAAGACATTTTGCAATAGGACATATTTGGTGAGTGGTAAATAACCTGGTGTCTTGACTATTTATTCCATTTTAGAAAATGTGTAACATATGATAGGTTTAATTTGGTTCATTAGAATTAATGAAGACACCTTTAGTTCTAGTTCAAAAAAATATTAAGATTTTGATTTGAGTACTCATGCATTTCAATTTTCTTTTGTACAGAATGGAATTATTTTTTTCAGGATTGTATCCTGACTGCTCTGTGTTTACAACAGCCCTAATGGACAAAACTGCTGACATTTAAGTTCATTTTCTATCTTTCATCTTTAAAGACATCAGCATATTTGATTGAGGAAGAACTAAAGGAACAGCTAAGAAAAAAACAAGAAGCTTTGAAACATTTTCAGAAACAAGTTAAATACCGAGTAAATCAACAAATTAGATTGAGAAAAAAGCAGGAGCTTCAGAAGTCGTATGAAAGAGTAAGTTCAAAAGTGAGCCTGAGTAAAGATTGAATGGAAAGTATGTGTGTATGTAATAAGCTATTAGGCGGTAACAGAGTTACTTTCCTTTGATTATGTGCTTGATATAATCTGATTCAGTAGTGAGGACAGTAGATTTTTATGTAGAGAAACCATGTTTTATTCCTATGTTCTGACTCATTTTTTTGTTTTTACCAAAACAAAATGAAAGGTGCCAGTAAACACAGTGTCAGGATTTTGAGTTCAGACTTGAGTTTGAATTCTGGCTTTGCCACTTATTAGCTATTGGCTAAGCATTTTTAGCTAATTACTTCATTGATTGTAGTTTCTTCATCCATAAAATAAGGATATGATACTTCTCTCATAGGATTGTGTGTGAATTAGATGAGATAACCTAAATTATTAGCACATGGGAGGTACCTGGTAAATGTTAGTTCCTCTGCCAGCTAAAGCCTCTCCCCTGCCCCCACCCCAATTTAAAATCCTGAATTGCTTAGGGGCATTATTGGATTGCTCTGTATTGGAGTAGAATGTCACTATCCCCCTTTCTTCTTTTTGTAGGCAGAAAAAGAAGGCTCCATAGCCATGCAGTCTTCACCAGCATACTTAACTTTCAAAAGGACAGGTGTTTTTCCAAAGAATTTAAATGCCGTTATTGGAAGTTCTAGGTTATCTCCTTCCCTGATGCTTGGGGAGGGAACAGATGATGAAGAGAATCAGAATGAATTATTCCAACAACAAGCCCAGGCTGTAAGTACCTGTGCATTTTATTTTATGTCTATGATATTTTCCCCATCCTGTAAACTATAAATATGACATCTATGGTATGAGGTAGAGATTAAGAGTTACTGCGTTCAGCTTCACTTTTTATAATCACTTCTTTTTTGTTTTAGCTTTGTAAAGTGGAGAATAGTGGGATAGTGCTTTTTAAAATTTTAAAATTTTCATTTATTTGTTTTTCGTAAGACACTCTAAAATTAACTAAAGAAAGGTGCCAGAGTGTGGGAATTCAAAAGCACTTTAGGTCAAGAACATGGATTTTCCCAATTATACTGAAATTATATTCTGGGTAAGCTACTATTAGTTTGTAGTATACAGAGAGAAATGATTCTTACCTTTGTTGCAAAGAAGTTAGTACACATGGGAGCATTTCATTTATTGTTTATGTTTGTCTCATTTTTCTGTTTTTTAATCTGATTATCACAATAAATGAATCTATAGTTGTAGGTTAAGGAATAATATAATAAATGCATAACGTATTTAGAGTTTTTAGAAAAATGTAATTGTTATTTAGTGACTCATTTTATATAACTAATATTTAAAAATTAACCACCGTGAGTAGACTCATCCATTCAGATTGCTTGCCTCTGTCCAGTTAGCCCCAAACTTAGCATACCTGAGCTTTTGTCCAGTTGATATAGTCTTCAACTGTGCTTCAGGAATTGTTCTTCATCTTATTTAAAATGTATTCCTAGAAGTAATGAAAGGAAGAGAAAAAACATGGAAAATTATGAGTATTTGAAAATAAAAGCTGTATTATTGCTTAAGTTAACATACTTGGTCATAATTTAATTATGCTATTTCCTACTAATGGGAAAAGCTTTAGAAGCAAACATTATCATGTTGAAATACTATTAAAATTTTTTCTTTGTTCCCTACTGTTTGACTCTTTCTTGTCATTGTTTAGTTTGTAAGAATCAGTTTTATTTGTTAGGAAATATTTATTGAGCCAAGCACTGCATAAAGTACAAGGAATAGAACATTGACTTAAGACACATAGTCCTTGCTTTTGTGGTGCTTAATAGCTAATACTTCATCTGTATAATAGGTAAATAGAACTCATCAGTCAGAGCAGTGTTTGCATTTGCTGTTTGTTATGCATTGTAGTGATACTAAGGAAATGTGAAATAGGACCATGGGTTTACATTTTCAGGTAGAGATATAAAACTAGTAGACCACTCATTCTGTTAGCCAATAATAGAGAGAAATTTTCTATATTTTGCAATAAAGTTGTGCTATGGGAGTTCAGAAATTTTTAAGGAAGCCGTAGGGGAAGCATTCATTGGAGAGATAGAATTGGACTACACGTTACTCTGTTGCCTGGGCTGGAGTGCAGTGGTAGAATCTTGGCTCACTGCAGCCTCTTCTTGCCTGGTTCAAGAGATTCTCCTGATTCTCCTGCCTCACAACCCCAAGTAGCTGGGATCATGGTACCCGCCACTGTGCCTGGCTAATTTTTGCATTTTTAGTAGAGATGGGGTTTCACCTTGTTGGCCAGGCTGGTCTTGAACTCCTGAGCTCAAGGGATCTGTCCACTTCAGCCTTCCAAAGTGCTGGGATTACAGGCATGAATCACTGCACCTGGCCAAGATTTTTTTTCTTAAAAAAAAAAACCTAGAAACTGCAGTGAGCTTGGTGTATTTGGGAATAAGTGATGGACCCTTTCTAATTGATAGTTTAAGTTTTTATAACCATCCCCGCAGCTTTTTTTTTTTTTTTTTTTGGTGGGAAGGGGGAAAGGACATTAACTACTGAAGAATGTTCAGGGACTTCACTATTTTGAACTTGTAAACTTTGTCTATATATGACTCCATGACAATAGATGCTTTTTAATCTTACCACTTCTGTTGCAGTTTTTAACCACTAGATGTCACTGTGAAACTAAACAATGAGACAGTTGGGGCGCTAATTCCCTTAGTTTATCTAAAACTGGTTGGGTAAATGGTACACATAATTTACTTTCTGAATGTTTAGTACATGTCTCAGTTTTCTTGTGTCGGAGTTATAGAAACATGGAATCTTGAGGATTTTAAAAATTCATCTGATATTGAAACATTTATGCATAAAATGATTTGATGTCTGGAATATACTTAAATGATGTAGTAGGAAGTTACGGATGAAGCAAGATTGGCTAGGAGTTGATAATGCTAAAGTGAGGTATCCATATCTGTCCATGGCAGTTCATTATAGTGTTCTGATTACTTCTGTATATGTTTGAAGTTTTCTATAGGTTTGAATTTATTTAAACTTGAATTAAATGTTAAAAAAGGATATTATCTGGTCCTACCTTTCTCTCTCTAAGGAATTCAATTCTCTATATTATCTCTAATATATATATATGGCCGTCTAATTCCTACCACAGCACCTCCACTATTGGAAAACTTACGACTTTTTCAGATGGGTCATTTTATTTTTTGAAGACTTGAAATTATTGCAAGTATTTTTTTAATATGTTGAGTCAAAAATCTTCTTTCCTATAATTTTTATCCATTGATCCTAATTTTGCCCTCTCAGGTAATAAAAAATAAAATGTTATCTGAGAGCACTTCAAGTATTTGATCATAGTTACCATTTTTCTTTTTCGGGTTTCTGTGTTCCTAATGCTTGTTGATTTCTTCTGAGTGTTATTTTGTTTTTCAATATTATTCCGAAAAAGGGCCTCAAAAACAACACAACACTGTATTTCAAATATGATTTGGCCAGGATCTCTCTTAATCTGCACCCCCACCTCACCGTCTACTTGATAATACTTGGTATTACCTGCTTGTTCAAAGGTCAGTTAAGATTAGTTGCCTAAAGTTAGGAGCTAGAATTATAGACAGGAAGAAGTTTTAAGTGATCTTATAATAGAGAACCAGTATTTTCTTTTCGTTAGGACTGATATTCGTCGTTAGGGATTGAGTTTCTGAAATGTCTCTGACAGCTGCATTTTGAGGGGGAATTGAAGAACAACTGATCATTGTTTTAATCTCACCATATAATAACTGTATTTTTTCTGTCCCTATTCAGTTTGCTACTATTTTGTAGCATGGTTTATTCCAGCTTTTGGTTTCTCACTGAATCTTTTACTATCTTATTTTTATTTTGATTCTGTCTTTACTGTGCTAGTTTCCCAGCTTTTTAAAACCATGGAAATAATTACTTTTTGTAGTAAAGCTTTAAGTAATGTGAAATAACCTGCTACATTCTTGTAATCTAGCAAGAGTATTTCAGTCAGGCACTTTTGACTGCAAGAACTCAGGCTAACCCAAGCAAGGGAAAGTTAATTTTAAAAATACACATGGGTTAATAAGGGAAGAATCAGCATCTCACACAAACCAAAACTCCCTTGAGGAATGCAACTGGAGAGTTTTTCTGGTTGAGGTCGCTCCAGTGACCCCAAGAGCATGGGATCTTTGATCTTCGCACTAAAATTTGATCATTAGCTTCATTGACTCAGTTCTTCTCATAGCGTGACCAGCCTTCCCTATTGGTCTAAGATCAAGGGGTTTCCAGAACATGGGAATTTCAGTGTTAAAACTGGGACAGTTCTAGGTAAACTAGTATAGTTGGTCACATTGTGTCTACACGTATGCTTCTCTCTTTAATCATTTTTCTACTACTAACTGGTATTGTCATCTCTTCATCACAGCTTTGTAACTTTGGTACGCTTTAGCTTTTTTTTTTTTTTTTCTTTTTTTTCATTTTAGAACCTTTTATGTTCAGATCCTCTCTCTAACTTTTCTCTGAATATTTCCTAGTTTATGAACTGAAGTAAGGAATATTTATTGGCCCAGCTTGCCTTTTTGTGCTGGGTCTACATTACTGGTGATCTTACAGGTTGATAGCTACAGTGACAAAAAAGATACTGCAACTTGCTGCAATACATTGGGATTCATGGGTTATAAAAAATGGCTCATGTGAGTTCAACTTTTAATGTGTAGTATTTTACACATTAAAAAAATTAAATTGATTAAATTGATTTTTAATCATACTGATTTTTAACTGAAAAGTTTAACACATTTAAAAATCATGATGATATAATTTGCAAATAAACCACATTGTAGCTGAATAGAATTCAGCTTTGGTTAGATTTTTATGGCATTAACAATACACTTTAAATTGTTAAAGTGGACAATACTTTATTGTCCATGACAGTAAAGTAGGTAAAATTCTATAAATCTCATCTATACTCTTTTCTCATGACCTACATAATATTATTAATTAATTCATTTTGTTTCATTTATGCAGTTACATATAAATTCTGTCTTATCGCTGATTGGCCAAAAATTTACTCAAAAAGAACTGAAGAAAATATGAACAATATCGTAGGTAGAGATCCATATTTTTCAAATTTTATCCTCATACTTGCTTGATGTTTTAAATTTTACTGTCTAATCATTGTTTGCTTTAGATTTTAAGATTTAAATCTCAAAATTTTTTATATAGTACAATTTTTGTTTTGTTACAAAGAGGTCCTTTTGCTAATTGTTTATGTTTCTGTGTACAAAATAGACATTTGGTGTGCAGAAGACACTGCATCAAGGCCTATTTTTACTTGATATACTGCTGTACAAACCTTGCTCCAATCAGCTAAAGCTAGAGAGGAAGTTGCCTAAGGCTGCCCTTTTAATAAGGCTTGTGGGCCTGGCAGTATTCCTTAGAAGCTACTGTGATTTTGTTGTCTGGTATATCTGGGATATTATAGTCTCTAGGGCTCAGTACAAGCGAAGTTTTGTTGGCAGTGGTTTGCCTACTGAATGGAAGAAAATTTTGGCCCATGTTCTCTAGGATATTCCTGAGGTCTGATAAATGTACATATGTATATATGCAATATGAGAACGAAAAATGCATTTATATTCTTATGTTGTTTGTGGAGAGGAAGCTTTTTGAGGGATGTTGTCTGGGATTTTTTTTCTCATTTTTTTATACTTTGAGTTTTATTAAATCTATATATGTACATCGTTTAAATAAGTAAAATAAATAGTTATGTGCATTGTTTGTTATTAAAAAAGAGAAGTACTTTGCCCATTGCCTCATTTCCTATTCCTCGAAAGCAAGTAGTTTTCTCTTTTGGTGTTAATATTCATATTTCTAAGTAACATGCTAGTAGTGCTCCTTTTTTTTTTTCTTTTTCATGAGCTGCGGCTTTGTTGTAGGAGCTCCTTCTTAATAAAAAATTTTTTGGCAGTTTTATTGATTTCACACTAGGAAGGATGAGGATTTATTCCTCTTTCTGTCCCCTGCTGCCCCTACACATGTACTCTTTTCCACCCCTCATCCTCTCTTTATAGTTATATTGTAATTTTGCTTAGATCTATATTTAGCATTTATATTGTTATGACTAGGAAAACATTAATCACAGCTGATCCAGGAGTAAACTATGATTACTTTTCCTTCTATGTGTGGCTTTTTGTTTTATCTGTAGTTATATTGATTTTTCATTTGCTATGTTTTCTATGTCATTATGAGTAATTCATCTCTATCAGGGAATCGAAGACTTGGTTAGAGATTTAGTGGTAGTCTTTGTTAAAGCAGTTAACAACTACAGAAAAATCAATAGTGTACCTAAGGTTCTAGATAAAAACGACTTTTGGTCAAATTTTATGTTTTGAGTATTTATACACATACAACACATGCACATATGCATATATACATTTAAACATAAACATGTAAGTATACATGCAAATGTATATATACCACAAACATTCGCACAATTACACATATATGTGATGATCACCATCGTCTTAAAGAGAAATGTACTTATCTACTTGTTCGTTTTAATTATTACATAATTTAATTTTTAATATTCACCTATGTTCTATGTTTTTGTTTAATTGCTTGTTAACATTAACTTCAGTCTTTGTATTAGTTTCTAGTGGCTGCTGTAACACATTACCTCAAATTTGATGACTTCAAAAAGTGACAGAAATTTATTATGTCACAGTTCTGGAGGCCAGAAGTTCAGAATCAGCTTCACTAAACTAAAATGCAGGTGTCATCGGGGCTGTGCCCCATCCTCAGGTTCTAAGGGAAAGTTTGTTTCTTGACATTTCTAGCTTTTGGTGTCTGCTGACATTCCTTTTCTTGTGGCTGCATCACATCAATCTCTGCTTGCCATTTTCTTATCACCTCCTCTTCTGTATGTTGAATCTCTCTCTACCTCTCTGTTGTAAGGCACTTTTGATGGCATTTAGGACCCATATGGATAATCCAGGATTATCGTCTCAACGTCTTTAAGATCTCAAGATTCTTAATCACATTTGCAAAGGCGCTTTTTTCTTATAAAGTAGTATTTACAGGTTCTAGGGATTAGCACCTGCTATCTTTGGGTGGCCATTATTCACCCTACGACTGTGCTCTAAGCATGTAATTGAAAAAGCCTTTCCAAGATTGAGGCTTGGTGAAGGGTCATGGTACCTGCAGAGAAACAGAGGGAAAATACTGTATATTTTAGCTGCTGGACCAGCTGAAATTCCTGCTTAAGCGCCTGTAATCAATGCGACTCTAATAGAGGTTTGGACTTGATGGGAAATGAAGATTCTGAACCCCTATTTCAAATTAGTTACAACGGGGATTTTTGAATCCTTGGTCATGTGGTATGGGGCAATAACACCTACCTTACTTGGCAGTGAATAAAAGCAGGCGTCGTCATGGCTCTATTTTTGTTTTAAATAATTTCAATTTCAACTACACGTATCTCTTTTTGCATTGTGAACAGCTCTCCTTGATCCCTTTGGCCACTGCAGCTGACCAAATCTAGAAGTCTTCCTTTTGGCAAAACCAAGAGTAGTATGTTTCAAGCTGATTTCTCTAGCTAGAGATATAAACCTCTAGAAACAGGTATACATAGAGGTGATGTGCTGTAAGAAATCTGGGCTGTTAGAGTGTTTTCATCTTTAGGTCATTATTAGTTAAAACCATAAAGTTTTTTTTTTTTTTTTTTTTTTTAAGACAGAGTCGTGCTCTGCCATCTAGGTTAGAGTGTAGTGGTACAATCTGGGCTTACTGCATCCTTGAACTCCAGGCTTAAGCAATCCTCCCACATCTCCCACCTCAGCCTCTCGAGTAATGGACTACAGGCATGCGCCACCATGCAAATTTTTTTGTATTTTCTGTAGAGAAGTCATAGCCATCATTTCTCTTCAAGGGAGAATTGATATTATTAAACTTTCAATGAATGGGTTAGTACTGGTGTTGACTTTGCCATAATTTTACTGACTAGTATGGGATATACTTTTCCTCTATGAGATACTGTGCTTATCTTAAAATTATACATACTTATTTCTTTGTTTCCCTAATGAGATATTCCTTCCAAATTTATAAGATATAAAATAGGCGTGCTTCTCTGAAAAATAAATCAAAATAGCTACATACTGAAATTACTAGAGATAAGGAATGAACACAAAATCAACATTTACTATTAGTAGTGATTTATCAAATGTTACTTAAAGTAGTTGAAACAGATTGGTTCTTTTGAGATCTTTGAATTTGTGCACTGAATTAATTTAGGAAGGCTTCCTGGAGGAAGGGAGATTCAAGAAAAGACTTTAAGTAGCTATAGTCTTCAAATTTTGAGGGAGAGAAAGGAGTCATGTAAATTGGGGATAAAAGGGTTTTAAGGAAACAAGAAATAGAGTCTCCTAGCAAGCAGTGATGAAAGCAATTAAGTATATATGGACCTCTTGAAGAAATAACTCCTTATTGAAAAAGGTGGATAGTAGGTAAGGAATATGTCTGCTCAGTGATCTCCCAAGTGTATTAATTCAGACTTTAGGTTCTCATATTTTTGTGTACATGTTTTATATAAAGTCTACATTATTTTAAAAAAGAACAATTTGAGTAACAGCCCTTAAACCAAGTTACAAACAGTCTAGAATAATGACAATAATGTTATGCCACACTATCAGCAGATAAAAGTCTCCTTTACAAGTAATCCTGTTGTCTTAGATCTGGCATTTTTTAAAATAATAGAGACCTGATTTCCTGTTGAAACACTTGGTGCATTTGGTATTAAAACTTACCCTACTTTTGTTTGCTTTTTTCCCCCTTTCCCTGGCAGCTTAGTCAAACTATGAAACAGGCACGTCATCAGCTAGCATCCTTTAAAACTGTGAGTAAAAAAAAGGGATCAGTGTTTCCAGATGATGGAAGGAAAAGCTTTCCCACCCAGGAGGTAAATTAATTTCTAATACATGATTTTAAAAAATACAGGTAAAAAATACAGATAAAGGTTTACTTATATCTCAGCATAATTTAGAATTGTAAAATAACTGGAAATAGCCTTAAATACCCAATAGTAGGGGACACTTGAGTAAATTGTGATATATCCATATGCAGCCATTCTAAAAAATATAGTTTTCAAAGAATATCTGAAGATAAGGGAAAGTGTCTGTGATAATAAAGTTAAGAAAAAAGTTGGATAGAAAATTAAGCATGATATCAATTAAAATATATGTATATATTTTCAACAAATACTTATGGAATGTCTGTGATTGCCAGCATTGTTCTAGAAACAAGACTTACAGTGGTGAAAAAACAGACAAAGATCCCTCAAGGAGCTTCTGTGCTAGTAGGGAAAGCATATAATAAGCAAATAAATATAGAATATAATTTCAAGTGATAAGTGCTACAAAGAGTGCAAAATAAAGAGATGGAAAGAGTGCTGGCTGTTTGCATAGACAAAAACCCATGTGGAAATTGTACAAGAGGTTTATACTGATTATTTCTGGATAGTAGCATTTTATAGGTGATTTTCTTCTCTTTGTTTTTTTTTAAAAATTACCGTAAAATATGTTACTTTCTAATCAGGAAAAAAATTAATACTATGAATTTTTAAAAAGAAAGACATTCTTTTGATTGAAAACTTTAAAGTGAGAGTATGGAGCTAGACTTAAGAGGATATGTAAGTCTACACTTATAAAATGACATTATTTTGGTACCTACCTCAGAATTCACAAATTTGGATCCCAAATTTATGTGTCTTCCTCTGTTTAGTTAATTTTGGCATTAATTTCAAGGTTTGATAGGCAGCATTTAGTAAAATAGACCATTAGTTTAGGTTTTAATTATTTTTTCCTGTAATCAACTGCCTCATTTAGTTCTTTCCCAGTTTTACTTCCTAATTAGTATACTCTTATATTTTCCTGAAATATATCTATATATTTATATATTCCAGGAAAATATAATATATATCTCTTAATATATATATATTATAGATGTTACATCTATAATATATATTATATACATATTTATATATTATGATACAATGTGTATTATATATTTTTTATTCATTTTTTTATTTAAAAATGAATTTTTATTAAAAAAATAAAACACCAAAACTGGGAAAGAACTAAATGAGGCAGTTAATGGCAAAAAAATTATATATCTATATATTTAGATATACATATTACATATAATATATAATACATATAAATATAAATAAACAATATCTAATACATATAAATATATAATATATATTAATATTAAATAATATAGTATATAATATATACACATGTATTATATATAATATATAATTTTTGTATTTTTTTCTTAAGTATCTTGACACAATCATCAAAAATGTTTGTCTCACATGTGTTGGCAATTGGTTGAATACTAAACTGTAATGTTTTTCTCTTTAACTAAGAAATAGTCTAATTTAAAAAAACAGGTGGGCGTGAGTATGTGTCCACATATGGCAACATATCCCACATGCATTCAGTATGGTTGTCTTTTTCTAGCATTGCCTCGTGGCTCTCCAGATAGAGTTTCTTTTGTACCTAAATTACTTTCAGAGCTTGGTTTCTTGACAGTTTTCATACCTATCGTGGTTTGGCAGTCTGTAGTTTGGGCCATTAGACTGACTCCAGGGTGCTGTTAGAATGAGGTGTTTAGACACTTTTTACTAAATCAGAAAAAAAAAAAACGGTTATCAGATCTTAGAGATTGATATTTTATATTGTTTGGAACATGCTCAGACCTTTCAATTGGTGTTTTTCCAGAAAGAGTACTATTCACGGGTCTGACTGAAATAATTATTCAGTAGACAGGAGGATTAAGTCTGAGATAACATCTTTGTATAAACCAGTTTTATATGTCAGAGGTGCCATTTAAGTGTAATCCATTATTGTTATGGTGATAACAATGAATTCAGGCTACCTCCGTGCTTCTAAATAATGCATATATGGTTTTCAGGTAAAAATGTGAAAAATCTACTCAGTACAGTTGGGAATGATCTAAGAAATTAGTGAAATTTTTCTTATTACTTATATCAAGTCTTTCCCTCAAATCTGAACAATTTTCTACCCTCTTCAGTTGTATGAAGTGGGAATTTGCCAGTCAGAAAGAACAATCTGTGATTGAGTTGAACCCTGGTTTTATTTCCTTGTTAATCTTTAGTGACATTAGACTCTGTCTGGTTGTTATTGATCCAGATTTGGAGATACAAATTGAACACATACTTGCTTGTACTCTGTCAGGTCACCAAGACTAAAATCATGAGTCTTCTGAAATTGTTACTGTCTAGAATAGGTGCAAGCTGTCATTTATAAAGTTAATACATTCTCCTGTCAGTCTGTTTCATTCCATATGTTTTCATATGTGAGTGCTTTGTTTGTATATATGAAGTAGAACTCACTTTTTTCCCCTTTATTGTGTATCAGACTACCAAAACCTACTAAGATAATTGTAGATCTTTTACTGAACCTCAGCTTAGGCTCATGAAGATATTGCTTCCTCTAGATCTTTTATATTTGTATTATTTTCTTTTTTTTCCAGACAGTGCTTTCTAAGAAACCAGCATCCCCTGGGATAAATATAGGAATAAGAGGAGAATTGCCCATTAAGGTCCATCGAGGTCTTTTAGCTGCTGTACCTTACCAGAATTATATGGAAAATCAGGTAGCAAAATATAAAAAGTAGAGGGGAAAGACACTGGCTTATTAAAATGATCCACAGCTAACTAAGGATAAGGTAAAGGGTTAAGGTGTTCAGTATTTTTTTTAACAGCCTTTATTGAAAAATAATTCATATACCATATAATTCACCCATTTAAAATGTACAATTCATTGGATTTTAGTATATTTACAGGGCTGTGCAACTTTTACCACCGTCTAATTTAGAACATTTTATTTTTTTAAATTAATTTTTAAAAAGAACTTTTATTTATTTATTTATTTATTTATTTATTTATTTTGAGATGGAGTTTCACTCTTGTTACCCAGGCTGGAGTGCAATGGTGCGATCACGGCTCACTGCAGCCTCCGCCTCCTGAGTTCAGGCAATTCTCCTGCTTCAGCCTCCTGAGTAGCTGGGATTACAGGTACATGCCACCATGCCCAGCTAATTTTTTGTATTTTTAGTAGAAACAGAGTTTCACCATGTTGACCAGGATGGTCTAAATCTCTTGACCTCGTGATCCACCTGCCTCAGCCTCCCAAAGTGCTGGGATTACAGGCTTGAGCCACTACGCCCGGCCCAAAAAGAACTTTTATTTTAGATTCAAGGGTACATATACAGGTTTGTTGTATAGGTAAATTGCATGTTGCAGGGACTTGGTGTACAGATTACTTTGTCAGACAGTACCCGGTAGGTAGTTTTCCATCCTTACCCTCTGTTATCCTTCACACTCAGGTAGGCCCTGGTGTCTGTTTTTCCCTTCTTTGTGTCCATATATACTGAATATTTAGCTCCCACTTTTAAATTGGAATATGCAGTATTGGGTGTTCTGTTACTGAATGAGTTTTCTTAGGATAATGGCCTCTAGCTTCATCATATTGTTACAAAGGACATGATCTCATTCGTTTTTATGGCTGCATAGTATTCCATGGTGTATATGTACCACTTTTTCTTTATCCATTCTACCATTGATGGGCATTTAGGTTGATTCTGTGTCTTTGCTATTGTGAATAGTGCTGTGATGAACATGTGTGCATGTGTCTTCAAGGCAGAGCATTTTATATTCCTCTCAATACATACCAGATAATGGGATTGATGGGTTGAATGGTAATTCTGTTGTAAGTTCTTTGAAAAACCATCAAACTACTTTCCACAATGGCTGAACTAACTCACATTTTCCCTAGTGGTATATAAGCATTCTTTTTATCCACAACCTTGCCAACATCTGTTATTTTTTTGCTTTTTATTAATAGCCATTCTGACTGGTGTGAGATGGTATCTTGTGGTTTTGATTTGCATTTCTCTAGTGATTAGTGGCAATGAGCATTTTTTTCATGTTGGCCATGTGTATGTCTTCTTTTGAAGTGTCTGTTCATGTCCTTTGCCCTCTTTTAAGGAGTTTTTTATTTGTTGCTTGTAAATTTGTTTAAGTTTCTTGTAGGTTCTGGATATCAGACCTTTGATGCATATTTTCTCCCATTCTCTTGGTTGCCTGTTTACTCTGTTGATGGTTGCTTTTGCTGTGCAGAATCTCTTTAGTTTAATTAGATCCTATTTGTGAATTTTTTTTGTTGCAGTTGCTTTTGGCATCTTCATCATGAAATATTTGCCAGTTTCTTTGTCCAGATTGGTATTTCCTAGGTTATGTTACAGTATTTTTTATGCTTTTAGGTTTTACGTATCAGTCTTTAATCCATCCTGAGTTTATTTTTATATATGGTATAAGGAATGAGTCCAGTTTCAATCTTCTGCCTATAGCAAGCCAAATATCCCAGCATTATTGAATTGGAAGTCTTTTCCCCATTACTTGTTTTTGTCAATTATGTTGATGATCATATGTTTGTTGGTATGCAGCATTATTTCTGGGCTCTCTAGCTGTTCCATTGGTTCATGTATTCGTTTTTGTACTGATACCATGTTGTTTTGGTTACTGTAGCCTTGTAGTGTAGTTTGAAGTAGGGTAATGTGATGCCTCCAGCTTTGTTCTTTTGCTTAGAATTGACTTGGCTATTCAGGCTCTTTTTTGTTTTTATGTGAATTTTTAAATAGTTTTTTCTAATTATATGAAGAATGTCATCGGTATTTTGATAGGAATAGCATTGAATCTATACACTGCTGTGGGCAGTATGGCCATTTTAACAATATTGATTCTTTTTATCCATGAGCATGGAATTTTTTTTCATTTGTTTGTGTTATCTCTGATTTCTTTGAGCATTATTTTGTAATCTTATTGTAGAGGTCTTTCACCTCTTTAGTTAGCTGTATTCCTAAGTATTTTATTCTTTTTGTGGCTATTGTGAAGGGGATTGCATTTTTGATTTGGCTCTTAGCTTGGGTATTGTTGGTATATAGGAACGCTACTGATTTTGTGTTCTCCAACTTTGCTGAAGTTGTTTATCAGATCAAGGAGCATTTGCAGATATGATTCTATACCTAGAAATCCCCATAGTCTCTGCCCAAAAGCTGCTTGGGATAGTTTGACTTTCTCTCTTTCTACTTGGATGTTATTTATTTCTTTCTCTTGTCTGATGGTGCTGGCTAGGACTTCTAGTACTATGTTGTGAGAGAGGACATCTTTGTTTTGTTCTGGTTTTCAAGGGGAATGCTTCCAGTTTTACCCATTCAATATGATGTTGGCTGTGGGTTTGTTATAGATGGCTCTTATTATTTTGAAGTATATTCCTTCAATGGCTAGTTTGTTGAGGGTTTTTTTAAACATGGAAGGCTGTTGAATTTTATTGAAAGCCTTTCCTGCATCTGTTGAGATCATCATGTGGTTTTTGCTTTTAGTCTGTTTATGTAGTGAATCACAATTAATGATTTGTGTATTTTGAACCAACCTTGCATCCCAGGGATAGATTTATCATGGTGGATTAGCTTTTTGATGCACTGCTGGATTTGGTTTGCTAGTATTGTGATGAGTATTTTTGCATCTATGTTTATCAAGAATATTGGCCTGAAGTTTTTTTTTTGTTGTGTCTTTGCCAGATTTTGTTACCAGGATGATGCTGACCTTGTAGAATGTGTTAGGGAGGAGTTCCTTCTCTTAGTATTTTGGAATAGTTTCAGTAGAAATGATACCAGTTCTTCTTTATATTATATGGTAGAATTCAGCTGTGAATTTGTCCGATCCTGGGCTTTTTCTGGTTGGTAGGCTTTTTATTTCTAATTCATTTTAAGACCTTGTTATTGGTCTATTCAGGGATTCAGTGTTTTCCTGGTTCAATCTTGGGAGGTTGTATGCTTCTAGGAATATATCCATTTCTTCCAGATTTTCTAGCTTGTGTTCATAATAGTCTCTGAGGTTTTTTTTTGTTTTGTTTTGTTTTGTTTTTTCTTTAGGACCAGTGGTAATGTCCTTTTTGTCATTTCTGATTGTGTTTGTTTGGATAGTCTCTCTCTTTTTAATTTGTCTGGCTAGTGCTCTATCTTATTAATTCTTTCAAAGGACCAGTTCCTGGATTAATGGACTTTTTGTGTGTTATTTTGTTTCTCTGTTTTTATCAGTTCAGCTCTGATTTTGGTTATTTCTTGTCTTCTGCTGGCTTTGGAATTGGTTTGCTCTTGTTTCTCTAGTTCTTCTAGTTTGATGTTAGGTTATTAATTTGAGACCTTTCTAACTTTTTTATGTGGATGTTTAGAGCTATAAACTTTCCTCTTAACACTGTTTTCACTGTGTCCCACAGATTTTGGTATGTTGTATCTTTTTTCTCATTAGTTTCAAGTAATTTCTTGATTTCTGCCTTAATTTCATTGTTTACCCTGAAGGCATTCAGGAGCAGGTTGTTTAATTTCCATGTAATCGTATGATTTTCAGTGATTTTCTTAGTGCTGATTTCTATTTTTATTGCATTGTGATCTGTAAATGTGGTGGGTTTGATTTTTTTTTAGTTGGCTGAGGATTGTTTTATGGCTGATTGTGTGATTGATTTTAGAGTATATGCCATATGCAGATAAGAAGAATGTATATTCTGTTACTTTGGTCGGGGGAGAGTTTTGTAGATGTATGTAAGGTCCATTTGGTCAAGTGTTAAGCTCAGGTCCTGAATATCTTTGTTAGTTTTCTGCCCCAGAGATCTCTTTAATCCTGTCAGGGGGCTGTTGAAGTCTCCCACTATTATTGTGGAGTTATCTCAGTCTCATTTATTTATTTATTTATTTATTTATTTATTTATTTAGAGACAGGGTCTCACTCTGTCATCCAGGCTGGAGTGCAGAGGCATGATCTGAGCTCACTGCAGCCTCTGACTCCTCTTCCTCCTGGGTTCAAGTGATTCTCCTACCTCAGCCGCCTGAGTAGCTTGGACTACAGGTGCACACCACCATTCCTGGCTAATTTTTGTATGCTTTGGTAGAAATAGGATTTTGCCTTGTTGGCCAGGCTGGTCTCAAACGCCTGACCTCAAGTGATCCACCCAACCTGGCCTCCCAAAGTGCTTGGATTACAGGTGTGAGTCCCCCTGCACCTGTCCTATCTGAGTCTCTTCATAGGTTTCTAAAAACTTGTTTTATGAATCTGAGTGCTCTTGTATTGAGTGCATGTATATCTAGGAGAGTTAGGTCTTCTCGTTCAGTTGAACCTTTTACTATATTATGTAATACCCTTCTTTGTCTTTTTTTTAAATCGTTTGTTTAAAGTCTGTTTTGTCTAAAATTAGAATGGCAACCCCTGCTTTTTTATGTTTTCTGTTTGTTTGGTAGATTTTTCTCTATCCCTTTACTTTGAGCCTATGGGTGCCATTTCATGTAAGATGAGTCTCTTGAAGACAGCATACCTTTGGGTTTGGCTTCTTTATCCAACTTGCCACTCTGTGCCTTTTAATTGGGGCATTTAGTCCATTTACATTGAAGATTAGTATTGGTGTGTGCAGATCTGATCCTGTCATCATGTCAACTGGTTATTATACAGACTTGTTTATGTGGTTGCTTTATATATCACTGGTCTATGTACTTAGGTGTGTTTTTGTAGTGGCCAGTAATAGTCTTTTCTTTCCATATTTAACACTCTCTTTAGCACCTCTTGTAAGGCAGGTCTGATGGTAACGAATTCCCTTAGCATTTGCTTTTCTGTTAAGGACCTTATTTCTTATTCACTTTATGAAGCTTAGTTTGGCTGGATGTGAAATTCTTGGTTGTAAATTCTGTTCTTTAAGAATGCCCCAATCTGTTCTGGCTTTTAGGGTTTCTGCCAGCAGGTTTGCTATTAGGCTGTTGGGATTCCCTTTGTAGATGACCTGCCTCTTCTCTCTGGCTGCCTTTAACATTTTTCCTTTTTATTCAGCCTTGGAGAATCTCATAACTATGTGTTTTGGGGATGGCCTTCTTGTGTAGTATTTTGCAGTGGTTCTCTGCATTTTCTGAATTTGAATGTTGGCTTCTCTAGCCAGGTTGGAGACATTTTCATGGATTATATGAAAATATGAAATACATTTTGCAAGTTGCTTGGTTTTTTTCCCCTCTCTTTCAGGGATGCCAATGAGTCATGGATTTGGTCTTTTTATATAATTCCTTATTTCTTGGAGATTTTGTTTATTCTTCCTTATTTTTCTTTCTTTATTTTTGTGTGACTGAGTTATTTTGGAGAGGCAGGCTTTGAGCTCTGAGATTCTTTCCTCAGCGTAGTCAATTCTGTTATTAATACTTGCTGTTGCATTATGAAATTCTTGTAGTGTGTATTTCAGCTCTGTCAGATCAGTTTGCTTCTTTCTCATAATGGCCATTTTGCTTATTAGCCTCTGTATCATTTTATTATAATCCTTAGATTCCTTGGATTGGGTTTCAACTTTCTCCTCAATGTTGATATTTTTGTTCCTATCCATGTTCTGAGTTCTATTGCTGTTATCTCAGCCATTTCAGCCTAGTTAAGTATCATTGATGGGCAACTAGTGTAGTCATTGGGAGGTAAGAAGACATTTTGGCTTTCTGAATTGTTAAAAGTCTTGTATTGGTTCTTTCTTATGTTTGTGGGCTGTGTTGCTCCTTCACTCTTTGAAGTTGCTATCATTTGGATGGTTTTTTAAAAAAATCCTCTTTGATACCCTTGGGGGTTTGATTCTGATATAAGGTAGATTCATTTGACTGGCTTTATTTCTGGAAGATTTTAGGGGCGAAGACTAAGCTCAAGACTCTTGGACTGCGTGCTCTAACTCTGGGGGGCTGGTATTAGCCCTGGCTTTGATCTCTGGCCCCTCATGGTTAGGAAGCTTCTGTCCTGGAGGAGCTGAGGTGTTCCCAGGCTGCTGGTCACAACACTCCAATGGATGGTGCCAGCCAAAATGCTTTATTGGGTGGTAGCAGTGGGACTTGTGCTTGTTTTCATGTGTCAGCAGTAGTGGCAGCATGACAGGGTACATGCTATGGTGGAGTACTGGCAGGTGCAGGGTTGCTGGCCTCCTTGTGGGCGTTTGCAGTGGTGGCAGTTGCAGTGCTGCACCAGAGGGTGGAGCAGGGGTGGGGCCTGTTGGCATCAGTGTACATGTTCACTCTGGTGGCAGTGTCAGCATGTGGTGGGGCACTCATGGGCATGGGGCTGGTGCCCTCCATATAGGCATTCATGTACAGCAGTGGCCATGCAGAGCAGGGAGGTGGGGCTGCTCATTTCCTTGTGTGCCTTCGCATTGGCAGTGGTGGCACAGCATTGTGGGCACGGTGTTCTTGCACTGGCAGCAGTGGCATGCTGCACACTGGTGGGGAAGGGGAGGCAAGGTTTGCCTGTGCGCACACGTAAGAGCAAAACAATGTGGGGGTTGCCGTGGGTGAGTTCATGCTGGAAAAGTGGCACAAGGGAGGATGCTGTTGGAGAAGGGCATAGGCAGGCTCATGCTGATTGGTGAGGGCCGCTCTGATGGTCAGGCATGGTCTGCCAGCACAGGAGTTATTATGTGGGCCTCTGGGAGGCACCTCTGTATTATCTGAGGTTGCACTTCCAGCAAGTGCAGCCAGACTGGGGCCCTGGGAGATGCTAGTAGACAGGGGTGCACTCAGGTAAAACTGGCCCTGTCTCATGGGCAAGATCGCCCTGCACTGCATGTCTGACAGTTCCCCTATGGCTAATGTCTCCTAGGGGAGCAAGGAGGGCCTTGGAGAATGGGAAGCCTGGCCATGCCCTACTACAGATACTCCTGTACCAAACTCTCTAGGCTCTGCATCGGCTGGAGTTCTGCCCCACCACCTCTCTAAGCAGCTCTCCCTGCCAGTGCAAGTGTTGGTGGGGGTTGTGGGGTCTCCTGCTGCTGGAATTCCAGAGGTCTGTGGAGTGAGCAGGTTATTCCTCACTTGTTCAACTCACCCCTTCTCTAGGAGTCACTGGGCGCCAGGAACAAGTCCTGGTACATGGTAGCCCCATTCGAGGTTCCCAGGTTCCTCCCCTTCAGCCCAGCATTTTTGTCTTCCCCCTGTCCACTATTAATGCCTTCTCTCCAAAGATCTGCTAGGAGTGTACCATCTTCCTGTTGTCCCAGTCTCTCAGTAGCACTTGTTCCTCCTGGCTGCTTCTAGTCAGCCATCTTGCCGTTGGGATTTGCTCTAGAGCATTTTCTTCATTTCTAAGAGAAACCCTGTACCTCATTCCCTCCCTGCTCTTAACCTCAGTCCTAGGCAACTAGTAATCTGCTTTTTGTCTGTATAGGTTTACCTATTCTGGACATTTCATATGAAAGGAATTATATATAGTCTTTTGTGACTGTTTTTTCTCTTTGCATAATGTTTTAAAGTTCATCCACATTGTAATGGATGTATTAGTACTTCATTCCTTTTATTGCTGAATAATTGTATGGATGTACCACATTTGGTTTATCCATTTATCAGTTGGTAGACTTTGGGGTTCTTTTCACTTCTTGATATTTATGAATTATGAATGATTGTGTATGCACAGTTGTATACAAATTTTTGTGTGCACATTCATTTTTTTAGGATATTCATTTCTAGGAGTGAAATTGCTGGATCATACGGTAATTATATGCTTAACATTTCAAAGAACTACTGAACAGTTTTCCACCAGCACTATGTGAGGGTTCCAGTTTCTCTCTATCTTCTCCAATACTTATTATTGTTCATCTCTTCTGTTATACCTGTCCTAGTAGATATGAATTGGTATCTCACTGTACTTTTGATTTGTATTATATTTTCCTGATGACTAGTGATCTTCAGTATCTTTTCATGTGCTTGTTGCCCAGTTGTGTAACTCTTGTGGATAAAATGTCTATCCATATGTTTTGCCCATTTTTTAATTGGGGTTTCTTTTTATTATCAAATTGTTAAGTAAGTGAGTAAGAGTGTGTGTGTGTGTGTGTGTGTGTGTGTATGTGTGTGTGTGTATTCTGGATACAAATTTCTTATCAGATAGTTGATTTGCAAATAAATAATTTCTCCCATTCTATAGACTGTTATCTTTATTAATAGTATTGTTTATAGCATAACATTTTTAAATTAGTCACCTCTTTTTTTCTTATGTTGCTTGTGCTTTTGATGAAGTATCTCCTAATCATTGTTTATCCTAAGATTGTGAGGATTTATTTCTGTGTGTTCTTTTAAGAATTTGACAGTTTTAACTCTTAGTTTGAGGTCTGTTATCCAGTTTTTATGTATGCTGTAAATAAGTGGTTCATCTTCATTGCTTTGAAAGTAGGTATCCAGTTGTCTCAACCTCTCCTGTTGAAAAGACTGTTCTTTTCCCATTGAATTTTCTTGGTACTCTTGTCAAAAATCAACTGACTATAAATGTGAGGGTTTCTTTCTGAACTTTCAGTTCTGTTCCATTGTTTTGTATGTGACAGTATTATAATGTCTTGATTCCTATAGCTTTGTGGTAGCTTTTGAAATTGGGAGGAACCAAATCTTCATTTTTGTTCTTCTTTTTCAAGAAAGTATTTTGCTACTATGGGTTCCTTGCATTTCCATATGAATTTCATGATTAACTTGTTAATTACTGCCAAAGAAAAGCCAAGTGGCATTTTGATAGGGAGTGTTGAATATATAGGTAAATTTGATAAATATTACCATCTTACCAATGTTGTCTCTTGATCCATAAACATATTATGTCTTTCTTTTTAGTTTTATCATCTGTCATTTCTTTCAATTATCTTTTTAGTTGTCATTATACAATCCTACACTGTAAAGGTTTTATAACATTCGACTATGCTGACCTACTAACATATTAGCAGTGACCTGAAACCTAGAATTTTATTGCAATCACGTTGTTTCTGCCTACAATAGCTACATTTTGTGTGTGTGTGTGTGTGTGTGTGTGTTTTCATTACTTTTTCTTTAGGAACTTGACTGTGAAGAACCTGACTATGTGGAAGCTTCATCTATTATAACTGATGAGAAAGGGAAAGAAAATTTGTTTGGGAGAGACCACCAGGACCAGCAGGATATCCTTTCTGAAGATAAGAACAAACCTTTCAGAGTTCAGGTAAAGCAATAAGAGAAATTAAAAGAATTGTGATTTGGACTAGGTATTGGCAGTACCGTTGTACTGATTTAGGATTATAGATTTAGGTTTTGTTAAGTTGGGCAAAGATTATAATTTCACATTTTATTCTAGTATGCCATATCATTTTGAGATTATTGTAGGAACCTTTTGGGAAACTTAGAGTATTACTACTGCCTCACATTCTATATTTGGTGTTTATGTTCACTTTTAGAAAGTAAAATTCAAAACTCCATTATTCATTGTGATGGAAGAGGAGGAGCAAAAGCAGTTACATTTTGAGGGCCTTCAGGATATTCTACCAGAAGCCCAGGATGATTTTCCAGAAGCCGAAGATGATTTGCTGGAAACCCAGGGTGATTTGAAAGGAATCCAGAGCATTGAGCCAGATACCCAGGCTGTTGAGCTGAACGTTCAAGTTACTGAGCCAGAAGGCCAGGCCGTTGAACCGGAAGGCCAGCCTGTTAAGATAGAAACTCGTGGTATTAGGCTGAAACCCCAGAGTATTGAGCTAGAAGAAGGAAGTATTGTTTTGGAAACTCAGGATTTTCTACCCCCAAATCAGCTTTTTCTGTCTGAAAACCAGGATGTCTTACTCAAAGGCCACTGTGTTCTCCCTAAAGACCAGAATATTCTACTCAAATATCAGGTCCAGGACTTCCTACCCAGAGACCAGCATGTTCTCCCCAAAGACCAAGATATTCTGCCAAAATATCAGGACCAGGATTTTGAACCTAAAAACCAGGATTTTTTATCTAGAGACCAGCATGTTCTCCTCAAAGACCGGAATATTCTACCCAAATGTCAGGACCAAGATTTTCTACCAAAATATCAGGTAAAATAGAGTGGAAAGGAGATTAAAAAAAAGAAGAAATAAGCTACTTAAGGTTTGGAGTGGGATTTGTAAGGACTACAAGTATACCTTGGAGATATTGTGGGTTCAGTTCTAGGCCATTGCAGTAAAGCAAATATTGGAATAAAGTAAGTCACACAAATTTCTTGGCTTCCCAGTACATATAAAAGTTATGTTTATACTATACTGTACTCTATTAGTGTATAATAGCATAATGCCTTAACAAAGTACATACCTTAATTTAAAAATACTTTATTGCTAAAAAATGCTTACAATTAATCTGAGTCTTCAGCAAGCCATAATCTTTTTGTTGGTGGAGGGTCTTGCCTCAGCGTTGGTATCGGCTAACTAATCAGATTGGCGATTACCGAAGTTTGGGGTGGCTGTGGAAGTTACTTAAGACAATAATGAAGTTTGCCACATCATTTGACTCTTCCTTTCATGAAAAATGTCTCTGTAGCATGTGATAATGTTTGATAGCATTTGATCCACAGTAGAACTTCTTTAAGAATTGGAATCAGTTCCCTCAAACCCTGCCACTGCTTTATCAAGTATGTCTGTAATATTCTAAACCCTTTGTTGTCATTTCAACAATGTTCGCAGTAGATTCCATCTCAAGAAAACATTTTCTTTGCTCAGCATAAGAAGTAACTCCTCATCCATTTAAGTGTGAACATGAGATTGGAGCAATTCACTCACATCTTCAAGCTCCACTTCTAATTCTAGTTCTCTTGCTGTTTCTACTACATTGCAGTTACTTCCTTCACTGAAGTCTTGAATGCCTCAAAGTCCATGAGGGTTGGAATCAAATTCTTCCAAACTTCTGTTAAAGTTGATATTTTGGCCTCCTCTCATGATTCATGAATGTTCTTAATGGCATCAAGAATGGTGGACCCTTTCCAGAGGGTGACAAATAAACTTTGCCCATGTCTATCAGAGGAATCACTATCTATGACACATATGGCCTTATGAAATGTGTTTTATAGATAAGAAGACTCAAAAGTCAAAATTATTTCTTGATCCACAAGCTACAGAATGGGTGTTGTGTTAGCAGGCATGAAAACAACATTAATCTCCTTGTATGTCTTCATCATAGCTCTGGGGTGACTAGGAGCATTGTCAATGAGCAATTTAAAAGGCATGTTTTTTCCTTTTTGGATCAGTCAGTCTCAACAGCAAGTGAAAAATACTCTGTAAACCATGCCATAAACAGATTTGCTGTCATCTTGGCTTTGTTATTCCCTTCACAGAGCACAAGAAAAGTAGATTTAGTATCATTCTTAAGGGCCCTAGGACTTTTGGAATGATAAATGAACATTGGCTTCAACTTAAAAGTCATCACCTGCATTAGCCACTAACAAGAGAGTCAGCCTGTCCTTTGAAACTTTGGCCAGACATTGACTTTTTCTCTCTAGCTGTGAAACTCCTACTCATATTCTTCCAATATAAGGTTGTTTTGTCTACACTGAAATCTGTTGTCTAGTGTGGCCACCTTCATTAGTAATCTTAGCTAGATCCTTGGGATAACTTGCTGCCGCTTCTACATCAGCACTTGCTGTTTCATCTTGCCCTTTGATGTTATAGAGATAGCTTCTTTCCTTAGACCTCATGAACCAACCTCTGCTAACTTCCAACTGGTCTTCTGTAGTTTTTTCAACTCTCTTAGTCTTTATAATATTGAAGAGAGTTAGGGCCTTGCTCTTTTCAGGCTTTGGCTTAAGGAGATATTGTGGCTGGTTTGATCTGTCCATACCTCTAAAACATTTTCCATGTCAGCAATAAGGCTCTTTTGCTTTCTTATCATGTAGTCATTGGAGTACCTTTTAATTACCTTCAAGAACTTTTCCTTTGCTTTCACAATGGGGCTGTTTGGTACAAGAGGCCTAGCTGTCAGACTGACTTGGCTTTCAATAGGCCTACTTCACTAAGCTTAATAATTTCTAGCTTTTGCTTTAAAATGAGAGACGTGTGGTTCTTTCTTTTACTTGAATACTTAAGAGGTCATTGTAGGGTCATAACTGGCCTAATTTCAACATTGTTGTGTCTCAGTGAATAGGGAGGCCTAAGGAGAGGTGAGGGTATGGCCAGGTGGTAGAACAGTGAGAACACATACATTTATAAGTTAGGTTTGCTGTCTTATATGAGCGTGGTTATGGTACCCCAAAACAATTAGGTTAGTAACATGAAAGATCACTGATCACAGATCACCGATCACCATACCAAATATAATAATAATGGAAAAGTCTGAAATATTGTGAGAATTTCCAAAATGTGACACAGAGACATTACATTAGCACATGCTGTTGGAAAAGTGATGTCAGTGGATTGGCTTGACTTATGGTTGCCACAAACCTTCAGTTTGTGAAAAACAATATCTGCAAAGAATAGTAAAACCAAGTATGCTATATATTGTACCTGATTTGGAGATCCATGCTTGGAAAAAAACAGTTTCTTGATTGGTCTCTTAAAACTCCAGTGCTCTTACGAAGTGTTAAAGTATTATCAGCAGCGTATTACTCCAAATGAACAATTTGCTGTCTCTGTTCTTTTCTTTTTTAAATCAACATTCTACTCAGATTTTTATGAACAATTTAATTTTTTATTTTTAATCTTCTTCATTAGGAAAAATATTTCTGGCAGCCATTATCTGCTTGGACAGCTGAAAGGTGGAAAAAGGAGTGGCCCATAGGTACTCAGCAGTATTTTTCACGCAGGTTCCAAGGCCAGCTCTCCACCAGAGATCAGTTAGACTACAAGGAAGAAGAAAGAGAGCAATAGGAATTAGATTACTTAGGGCTGTGGTTGGACTTTTGTGGAATGTAGTATAGTTTTTTGTTTTATTCCAAAGGTGCCCAATTATATTCTGATCTCAGTTAACTCCAGAATTCTCACTAAAGCCTAAAGTCCTAGCCTGTCATTCTTAACTGAACAATTGATAATTTTGTGTTTATTTCTTTTTAGAAAGCAAATCTGAAGCAGCCAGTATCCATTTTGATAGGTAGGCGAGGGAGAGAGGTGCCTCCTCTGGGTGTCCATCAGGATCTTCTATGCAGGCATCATCAGGCCTCCACTGGAGGCAGGGTAGAAAAGAAAAAGGAAGAGACCAACAGGGACCGAATTGTTTAGTTTGGAGTTTTCAAAGGTTGTTCCCAGCTAAACTTCAGAACTGACAAAAAATATGCGTTTCTGTTTTATTCCATAATGTTTTATATTATCCTGAAAAAAACTATGCTTAGGTCTTCAATGAAGCCTAGAGTATTATTGCCATCATGTTACTCTTACTAGACAATTTCTAGTTTTATGATAATTTTCTCTTTTAGAAAGTACATTTTAAGGAGTCATACTCTGATATGACAGAGAAAAAGGGAGTGAAGACTTTTCTTCTGGCAGATTATCGGTGTCTGCCTCCCAAATCCCAGGACCAGGATAACATCAGAAACCAGGTAGAGCAGAATAAAAAAGATATAAACAGGAAGAAAGTACTCGGGTTTTATAAATCCCAAGTGGTAATTTACAATGAGGGACTTTGGAGCTAACCTAAGAATATAGTGTTTGGTTTTTTCAGACGGAGTCTTGTTCTGTTACTCAGGCTGGAATGCAGTGGCACAATCTTGACTCATTGCAACCTCCACCTCCTGGGTTCAAGCGATTCAGCCTCCTGAGTAGCTGGGATTACAGGCACACACCAGCATGCCTGGCTATTTTTTTTTTTTCTTTTTTTAGTAGAGATGGGTTGTCAACATGTTGACCAGGCTGGTCTTGAACTCCTGACCTCAGGTGATCCACCCGTGTCTTCCTCCCAAAGTGCTGGGATTACAGGCATGAGCCACCATGCCTGGCCAAGATATAGTATTTTTTTATTCCTTCCTACATTGGTGGAAGGGCCTCCTTTTAGAACAGAGGCCCTGCTTCAGGAGCATACAATGTTAAATCCTAAACAGTTCAGTTCTTCCTGGTCTCTCTCCCTTTTTTTCTTTTCTCTTCTACTTTGTATTTCAGTGGTACAAAAGACCCTGGTCTGTGATTTCTAAGGCAGATGTATCACATTCATATCTTATTCCAGAATCAGTTGACTATTTTAACAATATTATTCTTTAACTCTTACCAGAGCCAACAGTATTGCTGCAAGCATAATGCCCCTACATGAACAATGTAGGGACTGGCAGATACTTAAGATTTGGTGAGTTTGTCAGACTGTTCTGTCCATGGATGGAATTAAGAATTAAGGTCTACATAGTTGAGCTAAAAGTGTAACATCATCCTCATATCAAAATGTATTAGCATGTTTTTACTTGGCTTCATTTCTCTGGAGTTTTCACTGAAGCTTATGATATTATGATTAGCATTACACAACTTTTTTTTTCCTGTTGTTTTTCCTTTAAAACATGTTTCTCAAGCAATCTGTATCTTTTAGTGAGAGAAGAGAGAGTGAGAGGAATTGCTTCTGGACTATCACCAATATGTTGTACCTAAAATTCAGGACCAAGACTCCCCTAGAGAACAGGTAGAACAGAATACAGTAGGAAGACTGTGTACTTCTAAAAGAGGAACAAGGCTAAATTACATAACATTGAGGCTGAAGCCTGTCAAGCTAGCTTGTTTGTGGGATACATAGAATTAAGGCCTTCAGAATTAAGCTAAGAGTGTAATTTTTTGGTTATTTCAAAATGTGTCAGAATAATCTGGAATTCACTTTAAAATACTCCAGGAAAAACATTGGAGAAGAGAGAGATGAGAAGGCAAAATGTTGCTAAATGTTGAATCTGGGTAATTGTTGAACCTTGGGATTCATTATACTGTTTTTGTTTTTTTTCTGCTTTGATGCATGTTTGGAAATTTTTGTACTGAAAACAAACCACACGCACACACACACCTTTAGCTGTGTTCTGTTATCCTCACCTAGTGTCATTCCTTTGGGATTGCCACCGCAGTCTGTAATATTGTCATTAGCCCATCATTTCTGCTTAGACAATCAGTTTTTGTTTTGTTGTTCCTTTAGAACAAGCATATCAAACCACCCTCATCTTTTGAGAAATGGAAGATTGCAAGAAGAAATACTTCTGGAGTGCCATTGGTATGTTTCACCCAATATTCAAGATCTGGTGTCTCCTAGGGAAGTAGAGCAGAATATAGTGACTAAGTAGCAGAGTGTAAATTGCTTAGGTTTTGGTTCAAGATTGACAGGGCAATGTGACTGCTTCGGGAGTTTAGTGTTAAGATCACTAGTAACGGGCAAAGAATATAATGGTTTTTTCTTCTGTGATGCGTCACACCATTCTGACCTATTGAAACTACTTCAGTCGTCTCCACTGAAGCTTTTACTACTGCTACAGGAATGATGTTCCTGCTTAGATAATTTATGTTCAGTGTTTATGTTGTCTTTTAGCACAGGAACTCTGAGCAGGCCTTGCATGATATCACAGATAAGAGATGGAGAAAACTTTCAGAGCACCATGGATATATTTTGCATGAAAGCCAAGATACAGGCTCTGCCAGAGAGCAGGTAGAGCAGGGTATAGTAAAGAGTAAGCAGCAGAAAGCAAATTAGAGTTTGGGTAGGACTTGTCAGAGCTTCCATTACCAAAAAAGATCATGATGATCATGTTATCTGTTGTTAATATTAGCAATAGTATTATTAATATTATAATGAATAACAGCTTACATTCATTGAACACATGCCACAGCCAATATGGTTTTAGAATTTTTTATGAAGTATCTTATTTGATTTTTATAATAACTATAGAAGATAGATACTATTATTATCCTTGTTTTATAGATGAAATTTAAGATTGCTTTGCAGGTAGAGTTAAGATCCAGAATGGTGACAAGAAGTATAATGTCTACTTCTATGCCATAATATATCAGACTATTCTGACTTATTTAGATTATTATCTTAATTCTAAGATTATTTTAGGTCTCTCATTGAAACCTATGGTTATTTTGGGGAGCATTTGTTGCCCATTTGAAAAACTATGTTTTATATCTATTTTTATAAAAGGTGTATTTCTGATGGCCATTGTCTTTTACAGTGTGAGAGGGGAAAAAATGAGCAGTTTCTGAGGGGCAGGGGTTATGAGGATCTTCTACCCCATGGCCAGGATTAGATCTCCATCAGTAAGCTGGTAGAGCATAGCAGGATTGCTGAGAAATAAACTCATCAGGTTTGGGCTGAAGCTTGTTAGGTTTCTCTTGCCTAAGGTTTGGGGTCATTGAGTTAAGATCTGTAGCTTTTCAAGAAAATGTTACAGTATCCTGGCCTTTGAAGATTTTTCTGTGGCTTAAATGAAGTTTAGTTTATTATCGCTAGAATTTTGCCCCTCTCTGGATAATTTTTATTTTCCAATTTTAAGTTTTTAAAAACAAAGGCTTAAGGCCACCAGCAGAATTAGGCTATATGAAAGAGATTGAAGAGAAATTTTCTCTTGGCCTCTTTGAGAGAGCAGAATTCAAAGGCAAAGAAGCAGAAAATAGAATTTGGGCTGAGGTTTTCAGGACTAAACTGCAATTCTTTGTGATTTTTAGTTTGGGTCTGTAAGGTTGGCCTAATGGTATTGTGCTGTGTTTTAGTCTACGTTGTCATTTATACATCCTGAGCCTTGCCAGTCTCTCTTCTACCTCGGTCTTTTGCACATGGTTTTTCCTCTTGTCTGGGTAGTCTTCCCTTTTTTCTTCATGAAGTCGGTCCCTTCTCATCCTTGAGGTTTCAGCTTAAATGTCACCTTCTTGGAAAAGACTATCCTTACCACCTTATCAAAAATAGATCTCCCTTTTTTGTTTTTCTCTATGCTTGCATTCTATTTGTTTCCTTCTCAGTACAAAACAATTTGTAGTTATTTATTAATTTATGTGCTTTTGTATTGTCTAGAGTTTCCCACTAACCCATAAGTTTCATGAGAGAGGTACCATACCTGTTTTGTTTACCATTATATGAACAGTGCTTGGCACAGTGGCTGGTACCTAGCAGTCACTCGGTAAATACGTTTTGAATGGATTAGCCAGTCAAACATCTGTTGAACACCTTTTAGGTGTTAGACATTGTTTAAGTACTAAATATCAAAGATACAGCTGTGAGCAAGACACGGCACTCAAATTTCAGACAATCTAAAGAAGAGAGACTGATATATAAACATAATTATGAAGCAGTGTAATTAGTGATAGAGGATGCATGGGGCATTCACAAAGCCGGTGAGAGAGGGGTACTTACTCTAGACTGTTCAATTCAGGATACAGCTTTGGTGGTCTGAATCTCTTCTCGTCCTTCTGCTGTTACTATCCCTGGAAATTTTCAACCCTGGAATAGCATTTTCTCCTTTTTTTGAGACAATCTCACTCTGTCACCCAGGGTGCAGTGCAGTTGTACGATCTTGGCTCACTGCAACCTCTTCCTCCCAGGTTCAAGTGATTCTCGTGCCTCAGCCTCTTGAGTAGCTGGGACTACAGGCATGTGCAACCACGCCTGGCTAATTTTTGTATTTTTTAGTAGAGACAGGGTTTTGTCATGTCTCTAGGCTGGTCTCGAACTCCTGACCTCAAGTGATCCACCTGCCTCGGCCACCCAAAGGTGCTGGGATTACAGTTGAGCCACTACACCTGGCCATCTTTTCTCCCTTTATGTTGCCAAATAATCCAGTCTTATTGAACAAAACATTTTAATAGTGTAGATTTATACCACATTCATACTAAGGGTTTCCAGTCACAACTGGGTTCCAAGGGCGACTTAGCATTTTTTCCTGCTTATTCCCTAGCACCTTGCTCTCCAGTGCCCTACACTGACTGTTCTAAATCTTAAACACTCCTTAAGCTTCTTGCTGCACCCCCATATTCTCAACTTTCGTACAGAAAATAAAAGCTATTACACACTACCTTAACCATTTACTTTTTTTGGTTGCTGTTATTACTTTTTACTATCTCAGAGGAAAAGTTTTCTCTTCAAGGCCCCACCTGCTAATTCTCTCCTTTCAAAGTTAATCACTATCAAGAGTTGTATGCATCCTTTGAGTCCTTTTTATAAGCATTTATACAGATGTACATATAGATACATTTTAAAAAATTGTGCTTAAAATATACATAACATAAAATTTCCCATTTTAATCCTCTCTAAGTATACAGTTCAGTAGTGTTAAGTACACTCACATTGTTGTGCAGCCATCACCACCATCCATCTCCAGAGGTTTTTTAATCTTGTAAAACTGAAACCATATACACGTTAAACAGTAATTTCTCCATCTCATCTCCCCATGTTCCTGGCAACCACGATTCTACTTTCTGTCTTCACGAATTTGATTACTCTAGGTACCTCATAGGAGTGAAGTCATACAGTATTTGCCATTTTGTGACTGCCTTATTTCACTTAGCATAATGTTATTGCATATTGTAGGAGTTACTTCCTTTTTAAGGATGAATAATATTCCTTTGAAATGTATATACTGCATTTTGAATCCATTTATCCATTGACTGTTCCACAATCAGTTTTCTCTGTTCTAGACCTTCCTCTACAGTATGAATCTTGTTGTGTAAGGTTCCATTTACTCAGCATAATGTTTCTGAGATTCATTCATGTTGCTGCATCAATAATGTGTTCTTTGCATTGCTGTATAGCATGCCATTATTTGAATATATCACAGTTTGTTTATTTAATCTCCTGTTGATGGACATTTGAGTTGTTTCCTGTTTGTGGCTATTTGGTATTGGGAATGGGGTGCTGCTACAACAAATATCTAAAAACTGTGGAAATGGCTAAAAAATGGGTAATGGATAGAGGTGAAGAATTTTGAGGCCCATGACAGAGAAAGCCTGTATCATTTTTTAAATTATTGTTAGTTTTTCAGTCTCACTTGGTTGCCCAGGCTGAAGTGCAGTGGCACAATCATAGCTCACTGAAGCCTCGGTGGTGACTCAAGTGATCCTCCTGCCTCAGCCTCCTGAGTAGTTAGGACTACAGGTGTGTGCTAACCACGCTTGGCTAATTTTTGTATTTTTGTAGAGATGTGGTCTTGCTGTGTTACCTTCCCTGGTCTTGAACTCCTGGCCTTAAGTGATCCTCTTGCCTTAGCCTCCCAAAGTGTTAGGATTACAGATGAGAGCCACTGCTCCCGGCCATCATTTTAGAGATATCTTTGTTGTTATAAGCAAAGTATTGGTTGAAATGTGTACATTAAAGATACTGCCACCTGGGTGTGGTGGCTTATGCCTATAATCCCAGCACTTTGGAAGGCTGAGGTGAACGGATCACTTGAGATCAGGAGTTCAATACCAGCCTGGCCAACATGGTGAAACCCTGTCTCTACCAAAGATATAAAAATAAACCGGGCATGGTGGCATGTACCTGTAATTGCATCTACAAGAGTGGCTGAGGCACTAGAATCACTTGACCCTGGGAGGCAGAGGTTGCAGTGAGCTGAGGTTGCACCATTGCACTGTAGCCTGGGTGACAAAGCAAGACTCTTGTTTTAAAAAAAAAATACTGCCAGTGAATCTCAAGGAAATGAGGAACATGTTATTGGAAACTGGGGCAAAGGTATTCCTTGTTATTTAGCAGTAGAAAGCTTAGTTAAACTGTGTTCTATAGTTGTATGGAAGGCAGAACTTGTAAGCAATGAACTTGGAAATTTATCTGAGATTTGCAAGCAAGGTGTTAAAGGTACAGTGTGGTTTCTTTTTGTCACTCCTCAGAGAGTCTGCCAGGGTCTCTCTGGAATCCCTCTCTCCATCTTGTGTACTAGAAATTATTCAGGCAGTAATCTGGGGCAATTGTGCTGACTACATTTGTTTCCTATCTATGAGGAATAACTATACTGTGCTTCCTTATAGTCAATGTATGAAAACAATTCTTTTATAGATTTTTTTTGTTTTTTATTTTTTCAGTCTTCAGGCAGGAATATAAATTTCCGTTCTATTATTGCATTGTGGCTTCAAGCAGAAGTCTCTTTATTTAAATATTATTTAATTTCATTCTAATTGATCTGTTATCTTTTTGGCTGTATCTCTTCATCTTATCTTATAATGGCTGCTCTGAAGATTACAGTATACATACCAAACCTTTCACAGTCTACTTTGAGTTAATAGTTTACCATA